CAAAACTAGAACTGAGTAGATCTTGAATAGGATTGAATATGCTTGAATCAATAGATAAATCATCGGATTCATGTTCTTTCAAAGCATCATCATTAAATATCTTTAAAAAGTCATCGTCATCGAAAATATTAAAATTTCTTGATGAATAATTTAGATCGAGGTCAGAAGACTGTTCGATGTCCGTCAAGTTCGATGTGTTCGAGTGAAGCAGATTGGTAGACAAAGCACTGACCAACGAACTTTCGGAGTTGGATATCTAAAACAAATAATAGCTTCCATAGGTAATTCGATTTGCTGTTGCAGCAACAGTTTTGTCCATAGAAATAGGAAATATTCTGTTGCGTGTGTCAACTATAGATTCGTAGCTAATATAATGCTTACCATGTACTCGGGATCGGATTCTAGTAAATTCTTCTCGATATTTATCAATGGTTGATTTTGAAACATTTCGTCTAAGTTCAAAGATTGACATAATGACTGTGTAGAATGATCAAAAGTTGCTGAAGAAGGATGGCTAGTTGAATCTGATTCCCGAGATTTTCGCTTGCCGAATAGACCAAATGTCACTTTGAATAGACGATTCTGTGTATATACGTAGGCTTGCAATTTGTCGAATGAAACCTACTGCTGCGATAAAAAATGACGTGTAAGTTATTGCGAAATCTACCTGTTCGATGAGTATGCGTGTTCTGTTTCTTCCTTTCTGTTACTTGTGTAATAACTTTCTTTCTGCGATAACATCTACCAGTTGGAAAAAACCTCACTGGATAAAAATATGTTTTTATTCTTTCCCAATGGATCGATCGCGTGAATGTCGCTGTTTGAATACCACTGCACGCTTTGTCTACACTCATGTTCAAGCAGATTAACACTTGACAATAGTCTCGTGGGCGAGAGAAATGAAATTCCGGTGAAACATGCTTAGGTACGTAACACAAGAAATTTTGCAAGAATGCCGTCATCATACTTCTATCGATTGGAAATTCAAACGCATATATATATGGGTACAATTGCTTAATAAAAGGAAGCAGTGAAAACGTTTCAACATGCAAGAAAAGCGGATCTGTCTAATGGAAAAAATGCTTTTCAATTATAGACAGATGTCCTTCATCTATATGTATGCATATAAACATATATAAATACTCACTTAGGAAAAGCAAAAGTCCAATTGAAAAGTGTTATAAAATGTAGGAAAACTGAATCACTCTAATAAGAACAAAGCAATTGAATACGAGAAAAATGTACTTCGTACAAACCAGTACAGAACTAGGGGCCAAGAGTGATATAACAGAGAAAAAACAGTATCCAAGGTGCTACTATCAATAAAGGCAACTACAAAACAGACTAATAAAATCAGAGTTCTCTCCTGCCTCCACTCCAGTCCAGCGATGAACGGTTGCTAAACACAAGCAACTAATGTCCTGATGCCATATCAATATTATCGGTTAGCTAACAGCTACCAAATCCGTAGATCGTTGACTAACTATGCTAAGAGATCGTCTCACAATTTTTTTGCTGAAGAACTATATATGTAATGGAGGAAAATATAGTAATGATGGTTCTCATTATCTAAAATACTTTATAATCGTATGATAAGGTTTCATGGATTTGATGATGTTTTGTTGTAAATTTAGTTTCATCGCATCAAAGACAACACTATGAACTTATGCATTTTATTTCCTCTTAAAAAATTCATTCTTGTTCCTGATAGAAATGTTGTTCAACTTTTGATCTTTTTTAAATAAACATTATACGACAAGAGAATCAAATTCAATCGCATATATCCATTCAAGTATCATTTGTGTTGTCCTTGGCCGAAAATTTCACTTAAAATCACTATCATGTATTTGCCCAGTTACCATCGAATTCTTCCAGTCCTTCTTCTTTTTAACTGGACTCTCCTTTCTTACGCCCTCATATTGAATTTTTATAGTGCATACCCTAGAGAAAGTACTGAGTTCAGGGTACCCATGTACTGAGAAAGCTCTAGCAGGGTACCCAGTAGGGGTACTTTGAAAATTCTCAGTAATTTTACTGATGTATGTACTGTTTGGGGTACCCGTAAAAGTACATTTACTGAATAAGTACCTGCATGGATACACAAGTCTGTAACTTTACTGAGGAAAGTTCGACAAGGTATCCTAAATTTTTCGCGTTCTGTGTGGCGACTATTCATTCACCGTTTTCTTTTTTACGTACGGCTCTATATAAACAACTCGATAAATCATAAGAAAATAATCAATTTTCATACTAGTTTTTTCTAAATTATTTCTTGACTATTTCTTAGTCGAGGAAATGCTGAGCTTGGTCGTAAATTAAGATCGGACTACCCTGAAGTGGTCTACGACCAACTCAAGTTGAGTCGGATCTCGACATTGTTCCTGCTAAGTTTTTGGAATTGAAAAAATTAAATTGAATAAAGTAAAAAAAAATCTAGTAAATTATCTCAAGAAAAAGAAAAAATTTTAAAAAGTCAAAGATCAGGTTCGATCCTGAACGTACTGAAAATTTGGTAACAGGGTACTTAGAAATACTATACAATGATACCCAATTCAGTACTTGTTCAGTACCTTTAGGTACCCAATTACTGTGCATTTTCCAGCAGGGTACTTGCCAAAGTACCACTTAGGTACCTGTAAGTACCTGCAAGTACTTTGGTACCCAAAAGTTCCTGTGACATACTGGTATCAGGGTACTTTTTTGGGTACCCTTAACTCAGTATATTCTCTAGGGTACAATATTTAATGTCACAATCAACATATTTGCAGTTATTATTCTATAAGAACCTTCTTGCCATTTAGTATTTCACACTTTTATTATTATCTATTCAATTGATGGGATGAGGGGAGACTGTGGATATTTTAGATTTGCGTAGTTCTTTCCAATTAAAGGCATAACCAAGTTCGTACTATGTTTAACGTTGCTCTTGGACGAAATGAATGTAGTATCAGAATGTGCACGGAAAAAAATGTCTATTGGATGAAAATAAAATGCTGCAAAACTTATTAACAAACTTGCGAAACATGATCATGAAGTATGTCAGTGACTTTGTTATTATAGGCAAAACAGTTAACCATCATAAAAGTCACTTAAACATCAAACAAGTTTCTTCCAATGTGAGAAGAAAAACGCAGTCTGCCATCATCGTTTGCATGATTAACATAACCACTGTAAACACATCAAAATTTTACAATGCTTTTATTCACGTATACTTGAAGGAAAGAAAATGTGGTTGATCAATGTGAAGGAAGCGAAGGCTTGCTAATTCGCCATCACACTAAAAATTTATTAAAAAGACGCTTTAACCGACGGCAACTCTTGTGTGTAGTTTTGTTCTATAAAAATTCATCCTTTTCATTTCATTTTTCAGTGGTTGACGACAGTTTTCACAAACGTAAAGAAATGAGAGCTATCGAAGAGTTCAGAGTGACAGAGACATTATCACATGATTAAAACCAGTATAATTATATCTAACATTAATCTTACACTCATACACTCGTTTTTGTTATGTATCTCTTATGCGCTATTTACCAATACCCATCTGACATCAATATATTTTCGTTGAATATTAGTACAAAAATTTATTTTAGTCTGTTTTATGTTGGTAAGAAATTAACCATTTTAGAATGTTCCTGATCTATCAATGTGAAACACAATTTCAATTATGGGCATTATGTCGACATTAAGTTTCAGAAATTTCTAATCAGAACTAGCGTATTACCTATAGTTGAGACATGCCTTTTGCTATTCAACATGGATAGATTGAGTATTTTTCTGACAGTACAAGGAAAATTACAGTTCGTTGTTCGATATTTTAAGCCAACTGATACTAAGTAGAACACTTTACGATATTTTCGAGCCTACATTATCTCAAATGAAAAGAGTCAATTAATAAAATAATAAACATTGTTCTGTTTTTGTTTATTTAGACGTGTAATTTCCTTAACACATCAACCGGAATATAATGACTTCATTTTTCAAAAAACACTTCTGCATTCCATATTGTAATGGACGTGCGTGCTCTCAATGACACAAGTGTTCGGATTGGCACTGGAATGCTGTAAATCATAAAGACTGTAAAGCTAATCCACGTTCCTATGCTTCTCATCTTGGTCCTCTTGTTGGTCCGCTTTATTGATGGCATCGTCGAGCTGATGCAACTTGTGGTTATCGATCATATCCATATTACGTTAACTATAGCGCTCTTCATGATGGTTACGAATGCAATATTCTCAATTATCATAAGTATCCTTATCATTCACACTTCTATCCAAAGAGAGTTCGCCGTGGTCCTAATATATGTCATTGCAATCTGAATGATTATAGGAACAACTCTGCTAAATAATAGCTAGTTTGTTTTTTATATTTTTCTTATCCTTGCTGAAAATTTGGTGTACCAAAATATAATCATAGATTCGAAAAATGTTATGTTCTCAAAATTTTCAGTATCGGAGAGGATGAAAAACTAAAATATACATTTTACAGTATCCTCCTGAAAACGAGAGCTTGCAATCATTATTTCTATGATTCCCACGAATATCAGAATAGAAAACAAACAGAGTTAGAGTACTGATTTCTCCTTCAGTAGGGCGCGGGTATGGGTGTGGGTATCCATCAAAGAAGAATACAATTACATTGACACCCACACCCTACTTTTATTTTTTTTATGAATTTCCTCGGAATCGATCAGTTAGACTTGACATGATAACTTTCTTTAAAACATAGGCTTAGGCAAAAATCCGATAAAAAAAAAAACTTCGTAAAAATAAACAGCTTTTTTAACAGCCCATGTGAGAATTTCTAAAGTGATCCGCGAGCAAAGAAAAAATGCATTTGCAACAATGTTATTATTTTTTTTCGTTTCTATACACTTCTATGAATATTTGTTGCTCATGTTTATGGATTTCTTTTCTCAAACAAAACAATTCCATTAACGCTTGTTCACTTTCGTGCTGTGAATCGTTGAAAAAAAAGCGGCACTAATTTTATATATGCGCGAAATGTCGTCGAAGGTGAATCCGCGTCTAGCTAGTGCACCAATTGGTCAAGAACCGTTACAATTTCTCAAAGCGATAAAAGGCTATGAAAAAGAACCGATTGTTTCTCTCGAACAAGTCTGTGAACCTCTGCATGGAATTCTTGATGAGCTCAACGAAAATATTCAAATCGCCAAAATGAATTGCACACGCCCATCTGATGGACTCACACAGGATGAGTCAGCAGCTATTCATATCTATACTATGGAATGGGATGAATCAGAGAGTAGTCTTTATGCTAAATTAAATCGTATATTAAGAGCACCGGAACGACGTTTACTCAAGCCTTGGTTCCGATATCTTAAACTTTTTCTTACAGCTCTTTATAAGCTGCCGTAAGTGAGAAATTGTCATTTTGTTTTCCTCTACCTATATTAATTGTAGTTCAGTCGACTGTCAACTATGGCGCGGCGTGAAAGAAGACTTAAGTCATCTGTATCCCAAAGGTGAATTTCGAATATGGTGGTCATTCAGTTCATGTACAACTGCGTTAGATGTTCTTCAACGACCTAATTTTATAGGTAAATCAGGTACACGAACTCTCTTCTCAATAGAAGGTTCAAAATGTGGAAAGAATATTAGTCGACATTCATATTATCAACATGAAGATGAAATACTTCTTCTACCAGGAACGTATCTGCAAGTGTGCAGTCCAGGGCTCGAGCTGGGCCACTATTTTCTGGCCCGGTCCGGCCCAAAGCGGCCCATCAAATCTGCAGCCCACCAGGCCCAACTTGTCGTGTTTTCGGCCCGGCCCACCAAATT